GATTAAATGGACAATGGATCAAAACAACTACTGAAAATTCAGTCAATGAAGGCTATGAAGAGATATCAAAATGAACGGGGGAAGACTGGGTCCTGGTGTCTGGCACCCTTTAATTTATAAAAGGCAAGGATTTGCAAATTTTGTAGACACAGAGAAGTGAACCTGGTATTTTAATACTATGTAGAAGTCTCGGCATCCAACTATTTCATACTCAAGAACAAAAATAGGAAAAGATGGCATACAAGGTCAATAAAGCTACCTCAGGTCAACAATATATGCACTGAGTAATGAGCTGCAAGATCTGTAACAGAACTACTTATAGACGCAACCAGCTAAAATGTGTGATTGCTATAATAACTACCACATCATGTAGCATTCTTTCTGTTCCACGTAGCAGCTATGTCACAGGTAGAACAGGTATCAATATTTCATGTACACTTCCCACAAGCGCTATTTAATTTGTTGTAAAGAGCAAAATATATCTGGCATGTAAAAAAGAAATCCTTTACCCTGCAAACCTCATTTAATAGATCAATGCAACTTGGAGATGGGGAAAATGAGAGATGTGAGGACAGCTGTCATGTATGCACCATGACAATTCTCTTTCAAGCTCATTTTTTTCATGGATGCTACAAACATGACTTCTATAAACATTTTATTTGAGAAGAATTTGAATGAATCCCATTTTTTAATCTATACAAAATGAAGAAAAAAAATCCTTCATATAATATTATAGTGCACTGGGAAAAGTGATAGCAAATATACTACCTGCTAACTCAACAATTTTGTTATCCACATATTGTACTGAGAGTCAAGTCTTCTGAGTTAGTGGCTAACAGGTTTTGCTGGTGGGAACTCATGTTAGCATTGCAGAGCCTGCATCACTAAGGGAGAGATTTAGCTCCCATTGAATCCAGTGGAAGGACTCACATTGACTTCAATAGGGGCTGGATCAGGCTCTAAGAGAGAGATGACCCCATGCATCAACAACAGAACTCTCAATTAAGTTCCAGATTCTTTATTGCTAAAGGTACAAGGGACAGAAAGAGCACTGGCTGGCTTACAGATATAACACTGAGTTCATAATTAGGAGTCCACACCACCACCAATGCATTTATTTGTAAACTGAACAGATTTAATTTGGATATGCCGGGGGGGAAGTACACATGAAATCCTGCAATGCTATTTGTACAGAGTCACTTTTCAGAACAGAACCACACTTCAAGGGACAGTTTCAAAGGGCTGCTGTAACCGTGTCTGTAATACCTGTCAGTGCATGTGTTTGCATGCCCACAGAACACTCACATGACCACAAAAAATGGCTGTGTGCCCAAATCAGGCATTTGTGTTCCTGTCAATAATCACCTAGTTGTTTCACTCACATTGTGGGAGTAATTATAGGGATTCTGTCAACATTTGGCCTTAGCTTGTGACATTTAAAAATAGCTTAGCAAACCTGACAGGTAAAGGTGTGCTCAGTCTCAGACTCTATTTATACCAGGAGCAGTAGATAAAAATCATACAGCAGCTGACTGGGGCAGACCTTGAGGAGACTTCATTGGCCCTAGGGATCTGCCTTAAACACATAAAAGCAAGGGCATTTTCTCTTAATGAGGCATCTCTGTCTCCATCTATAAATCACCCTAATATGCCTGCATATTATTGTTTATATAGTTAAATAACCAGCAGTTCAGGGAGAATAAAAAAGGAGAATAATGCTGCTGCTGTAAGCACTATAGGGAGAGTTGCATTTGAGTAAAAAATCCAATATGATCAATGAATGACACTTCAGGGTCTCAATCCCTTGAGATGGCAAGTGTCTCCTGGCACATACTCATTTCCTTCAACTCTCTTGGAAGCAGAGAATCTTCTAACAGGTGCTCAGAGTCTTGGATCAGTCCCTGACTGGGGAACACAACTTCCTTAACTTTCACTTTCTTAGATTGTTATTATCATTCATAGACAAAGGCAGAAAGGGGCAGAAACTGGGCAGTATCTCCCCTGCTGGGTATTCTTGTGTGTGGGAGTCCTCAGCAGTCACAGAGCCAGCATAGCTGATTCCTACACTACCTGCCCCTGATAGGCCCTGTCATAGGGGACATGGAATGGGCAGAGCGGGACATGTGTGAAAAAGAGTAGGAAAAGAAGGGGCTGAGGAAAAGAAAAGAAGTTGGCCAGAGGCATCTCTGCACCCCAGCAATCCCTGGATGCCTTGGAATCATTGGCAGTTAATTTAGTTCAGAGCAAACTTGAGGCTGCTGTACTTTACGCCATGGACCAGACTGGCAGCTGGAAGGCCCCAGGGTGCCAGGGGGAGGAGGTGGCATAAAACTGGTTTAAAGCCACCTTGGGCCCTCTGGCTTGGTCAGACCAGAGATATTTATTCATTCCACATATTGACCACTGGTAGAGAAATGACATCTGACTTCATAGACCCATGTTGAATTGCAATATTTTATTAAAAATGCTTCATACTGAGGGAGTTGCTGATCCACTTTTTGCCATCAAATAGGGTAGATCCATCTTCTTCCTATGTTTTCCAGATATCAGCTTCTAACAGTAACTTGTAGCTCATAGAGATCAAAATACAATTACGTAACTGATGTGTTTTATTTAAAATTGAAAGAGATACTTTTTAGTTGTTGTAGAACAATCTGGAGATAGGTGGAAGGGATATTGTTTGGTAGTCATAGCCACACAGGATTAGAGGTATGAGATATAATATATACAAGGACTCAAGGGTGTGATTATCTCAGGATAGTACACCCTTTAGGATTTTAAATTGCATCCACAGCAATCAAACCTGTTACCATAGCATTTATTTTAATGCACAGATAAATGTGTAGTTCTTGTTTATATAGCTCATCCTCTGGAGGCACTAATATGATTTCCTTTAAAACTCAAGTTAATGAGAAAATAATGGAGAATTGTAGATATAAGCAAATTTTTTTCATTGTCACTGTCATCATCTCTTATACAGCCAGAGGGTTCTCTGAAAATATAAGTTGGATTTATTTTATGTACTGCAAAACCTTTAACAATCTTTCTTTACACCAAGCTTTCTGATTTCAGCCTAAAGCCAAAAAAACTTACTGTCTAAACAGATTTCTACATCAGTATATCATTCATAAGCCTTACCTTATCCCTAATAGGAAACTTAAAATTATAACTCTTAAAACTTCACCTTGGCAAAATACATTCTCATTTTATTGGCTTTTCTGGGCTGAAATCACTGATGAGATACTGTATGTGACCAGGAAATAGGGATTGCATATCAGTTGCTGAGTGTAGTGAACTGTGTAATGAAGCCATGTTTGTTTACTTTTCTTTGTATATAGCGTTGCAGTGAATCTCCGGACATTTTCAGCTGTTTGGTGATTGCTTTTTACTTTGTCCTTTATTCTAAATCCTTTGGAACAGTAGGTGAACTTCATTCTCATGGAATTTCACTTGGTTTACTTTTAATGTAAATGCAAGATGTTGACTTAAGTGTGTCTGATAGGAGTTGGCATCAAACAACAGTGATCAATTTCATCTGGGAAATAGTTTATTTTTTAAAAATATATACATTAAACAAGCAACTATAGGGATTTGGGCTCCTGACATTCCAAGCTCCATGATTGGCTTGGGCATATACAGTTACACAAGGATTTTCATTGCGTTCCCACTGGAGAGTGGTAGGCATTGAAATACCTGCTATCCCTTGGCAAGACTGAGGAATAGGCCTGCCTTGGGGGGCAGGATAGAATTGCTTTGTCCCAGAGCATCTGCCTCTCAGAGCGACTCGGTTGACAAAGGAATGCACAAACTGCATTATCTCTTTATGGGATGTAGACTACTCTTCTCCCAGGTGGTTGGATAGTTCTGTTATCTTAGGGGATGGCTAAGGAGCCTGGAGCCTAGAATGGGTGCCCTTGCTGGACCACAGAGAGGGAATACATGTGCAGTTGTCCTGAAATGTGACATATATGGGGCAGCATGTGTGGATCAGTAACAGTGTGAATTGCACAAATGCCAACAGCAATGTAAGCAAGTACCCTAGAAGGGTGTGAAAGGTGGGAAGGTAGAGTTAGTCTCTTCCCCTCACTGCCCCATGTGACAGTTAAGGGAGTGGTATCTCTTTGCCCATCCTTTACATGGGCAGTTCAAAGCTCTTTGTCCCTCCTGCCTCTCTGCATACTTAGCTAAAGACCAGGCAAAATCTAGCCGTCGGTGTGTTCCTACTGGTTCTATAGCAGGGGTCAGCAACCTTTGAGAAGTGGTGTGCCAAGTCTTCATTAATTTAAGGTTTCACATGCCAGTAAAAGGTTTCACATGCCAGACTGGCAGCACGGGTGGCAGATGGAACCCCAGACTGGCAGCGGGCTGAGCCGGTCAGCTCTCTGCCGGTATGGGGTTCTGTCCGCCGCCCTTGCCAGCCAGGGTCCTAGCCGCTGGCCCCACTCAGCCCGCTGCCAGCCCTGGTTCCATCCATCCAGGCCAGCAGTGGGCTGAGTGGGGCCGGCGGCTGGGACCCCGGCTGGCAGGAGCCGGTGGCTAGAACCCCAGACTGGCAGCGGGCTGAGCGGCTCATCCCACTGCTGGTCTGGGGTTCCGTAATCCAGGCTGGCAGCAGGCTGGCAGCCGGGACCCCAGCTGGCAGCAGCATGCCACTAAAAATCAGCCCACATGCCGCCTTTGGCATGCGTGCCGCAGGTTGCCGACCCCTGTTCTATAATAACATTATGAACTGAGTGAAACCTTTTTATGGGTTGACTTCAAACTTCATTGAGACATATCTGAATTCACCCTTCAGTTAACATAACTGTAAGCATAAGCTCCTACCTAAGACAAAAAGGAGTATGTTAACGCACTGAGGAGCTTTTGCTGAGTATTGGTGTGTGTGTGTGTGTGTGTGTGTGTGTGTGTGTGAGTGTGTGTGAGAGAGAAGGCAGAACGGACAAAACTGGGAAAGCCAAAGAGAGAGATGCAGCCTGAAGGAGCAGCTAAAATCATGGTGGTTGAAGCTGGAAGAAACACGGGGAGAGGTTTTTGGGTCAAGGATGCAGGCTGAAAGGGGTGCTCTTGATGCTGTGAACAAAAGAAACCATTTCCTGTTATTTGATTCCTTCTGTGTACAGAAACCTAGACCATGCAAGGTGGAGAAAGGTGCCTAAGAGTAAGGATCAGGCACAACTACAATCCTAGTGCTCTTTGGAGCTCAGGGATGGCTCCTTCCCTACTTCCAGGCAGGGAGGGCAGGCAGGAGGCTGGGTTATAGCTCTATCCCCTCATGCACCAGCCAGCAGAGCTGACCAACTGTAGGGAGTGGAGAAAATGTACTTCCTGAACAGGTGCAGCAGTAGGCACCTTGCCTCAGCCTCCTGGAGTCCAGGGTGCACATTCCAGTGTATGGAGAAAGCCTCCTGATACTTCCCCAAGGATTGTGCAGCTCTCCACTGCCCCCAGTGAAGGGCTGTCACTTGCAGGCATGTCTGAGGATACAGAACTCCTGCTCCCATTGAAGTGTAACCTATTGACTTTGATAGGAACTCAAGAATGAAGTGAGTCTGGAATGAATGGATCAGAAAAATGTTTCATTTTTAAACCACTGAGAAATGTAAAGCTGAATTGTCTCTAATGCCAAGAGAAACAAGAATGCAAAGCTGCAATCATGTGTGTTTAAAACAGAAATACCTTGTGACTGGGCTAACTAAGATTTAGATAATCTAGGAAACAGGCTGCGAATATTAAAAGGCCAGCACAGAGGATTTAATAAAAGGCCAAACTTAATGATTTCTCCAATTCCTAAAGGCCCCGATAACTAACCAGCTTTCCTGGCCACTTCACTGCCGCCAGATTGCCTTACTGCTGCTAGCCCTTGCAGTGCTAAACATCCTGTTTTGCAGCAGTGTTTTTACTAATACCATGTATTTGACACAGTTGGAATCAGACACAGCCTATACCTTTGGGATCTGATTGGGAAACCCATTCAAATTTTTCCTGCTGACAGATTTACTTTGTTTCAAATTGGCTTTGGGTTAAGAATTATATTTGGGAAAATCTCTAGGGACCAGATTATGGAGTTTTAACCATAATACTGGACTCCTAGAGAAAAGCAGTACTTGAGCTACTTTATACAAACACAGGACAAATATATTGTCAGGATGTTTTTTAATTCTGCTTGGTGTGGAAGAATTTTCAAAACCTGGCCATAAAATGGAACCTGATTCAATCTTCATATTCTATCTAATCCATCTACCAACCGGATCTAATGTGTGCATTTCTGGTGAACCCATGACTATAGTAACTGGTCTTATGTAAAGATGGAGAAGGATTGGAACAGAAATAGCTCCTAAAAGTAAGTACATACAATTATAAAGGTTAGAAATTAAATAAAGATCTTTTAGGTTACCCAATCCATCTATCTACTGCTGTATGAGTGTTTCCCACGGTATGTTTTCTAGTTCTTTGCTGATACTTCTAGCATTTAAGGAATGTCTACACTGCAATAAAAAAGACATGCAGCATGGCTGTGGCTGTACAAAGTCAGCTGTTCTGGGTTTGTGGAGCTCGAACTGAGGGGCTAAAAACTGCAGTGTAGAGGCTCGGGCTTGGGCTGGAGCTGGGGCTCTGAAATTGTGGGTCTCCGAGCGTGGGCTGCAGCCTGAGCCCAAATGTCTATGCTGCAATTTTTAGCTCTGCAGCCCGAGCCCCTTGAGTCTGAGTCAGGTGAACAAGGCTCTGAACTTGGTGCTGCTGGTTTTTTATTGCAACATATCCAAAAAGATGTCAAATGATACAGCGTCTACTATTTCCCTTCGGAGGCTATTTTAGTCTAACTGTGTAGATATTTTCTCCATTGGGAAATATTTTTTCTTAATATTCAACTGTATTTTCCCTTTAATCCCACTAATCCTAGTTATACTTCTGCGTAGCACCCAGAAAATTCCTCCTCTCCAATGTGCTGGCTCTTCAGGTACTGCTAGACCAATATTACGTCCTCTCCTAATGGTAGTTTAGCCAAGCTACACATATTTTACATGGTTCACTCTTTTGAGCTCCCATAATAGATGAATCCTTTAAACCCCTGGATCATTGCTTCTGAACTTCCATCAGTCCCATACAGTGTGCTTATATGTTACTTTTTGGTATTGTGTTACCCAGAACTGAACACAGTATTCTAGATATGGTCTCATCAGAAAAAAATACTGTATAGCTAGGGTTGGCAGAATGTGATTTTTATTTTTTTGTTAACTTAGATGGATAATATCAATGTTTATTTTTAAGCTTTTAATAAATTGAAATTTTCACAGTGCACAAAATGATGGATTTTTAAGCTTTTTAAAATTTATTTTTAGCCATTTACATTTGCACAGTGGTGGGAAATTCTGTCAAACAATTGGGAATGGGGGTGTCAGTCAATGACAGTAGATGTTAAGATTCAAAAAGTTTTATAACTATCACAACACAAATAGTCAATGTTACATGTCAAAATATAAAAAGTAAATATCCTTAAATCACACTCTAATTATTTCTCAAGCAGTATTTTTCTTACTTTGCCTAGCTGTAAATTTCAATGATTATTGGTGGAACTATTTTTTCATCAGTTTGTTTCTACAGTGAAATCTACATTTATTGACATTTAACAATAACAATTCATCCAAGGCTATGTATAGACAGGGACTATCACTGGAGCTGTGTGAAAACTTACTTGCTCTCCCCACAAATCTTTTTTCTCTTCAAGTTTGCATGGGGCTCACAGGCCCTGAATTTTGCTTTATGTTTTGGCCTCTAAGGGCCTGGACCAAAGCCCACTGAAGTCTTTCCATTGACTTTAATGGGTTTGGGGCTAGGTTCTTAAACCCTAGTTCTGCAATTTACACTGGATAGGCAGGCCCCTGCACCCAGGTGGAGCCCCACAGATTTCAATGGGGGTTCTCCTGAATGAAATCAATTAGCAGGATCGAGGCTTTAATGATTAAGTTGCAACTTGAAATCAGTGGACTTAAGCACATGCTTAAATCCTTTGCTGAATTGGGGGCTTATAATAAGTCATTCTGTGGTTCAACATCAGAATATGGGAACTGTTTTTTAATACCACTTTGAGAGTTTATATGGAAGATATTAGAAAAAGAACAGTATGATTATGGTAACAAACTGTTTTACGATAGGAAGGGCAGCATGACTAATAGACTGGCCTCAGCCAGAGAAATGGATATTTAATTTGCAAATTTATAGAAAGACTAAGTCAGTGTTTCTCAATCTTTTCAGACTGGTGATCCTGTATACAAAGTAAAATATTTTCATGACTCCTCACATTTATTATAAAAGTAAGCGTAAAAAATGTATCAATGATAAGCCTACATAATTTATTTGTGTGTGTGTTTTGAGAGGTTGACAGAGAATACTTGACCTTGGAGGGGAAAGGCATGTGAGGAGTGGGGCAGCTGGATTTTCTATACCTTACATTGTAATACAATTTTCAGTGCCTTGTAATTCTCCGATTACTTTTCATGACTGTTGTTGGGGGTCTCAATCATCTGGTGGAGAAACCCTGTACTAAGTAAATCAACTTTGGCTTATTGTATGAACAATTTGCTCCAAGAGAGTGATCTTTTTCATCTTTCATTCTGGGAATACATTTATTATCAAAGCAAAACAATACCCAGATCAATGATGGAAGAGGCACAGGGTGAAATCTTTCACCTTTGTAATTAATAGGAGATTTGACATTGATTTCAATGGGGTCAGGATTTTGCCCCCAGTTTTGATTGTTTGCATATGTGTTAGTATAATAATATTACATACATATGGTGATATCATCCATGTGGTAAATATGTAATAAGTTGCATTTACAATGAATGAATCACCTGGACTCTGCCAACTAATACCTTTCCACTGAATCTATTTCTGACCTTCCAGATCTGGTGCAGGTTGAGTAATATTTAATTCTGGCCAGTAACAGATGTAAATTCCAATAGCTCTGAAACCATCATGGCTAGAAATGGGTGCTTTATACCCCTGGAAAGAAGATAATAATCCTACTTTTTCTGTGATACAAGAGTTGTAATTCTTTTCTTAGGTATGTCATAAAATAGCAGACCCTAAATTCATGATCTTCTGATATATAATATAGGTCTTTTAGATCACCTTTAGAAGTTTCTAAATTGTATTTGTTATATATATTCTCTCTCTTCCTCCAAGGCCTGTAGAATAGGATTTTATGTTTCAAAGGCAGACTGACTTTACAAGAGGAGGGATACAAAAAATAGTTCACATTTTTTTTTAAACTCTCAAACATATCCACAATTGTAACACATGAGGCATAAACCAAATACCCCATGGTGTGAAATAGAGGTTCGACTATATTCTGTTTGGGCTGAAGGAATAACACACTTATGACTTTCCCAGAGTAACAAACATTTTCCAATCATACTGTTAAAATCACACACACACACACACACACAGTATTTCTTGGATGATGGCACAAAGAGCAACATTTTCAAATGGAGGAACAGCAAATAATGAGGCAGTGGATACAGAAAGAACTGAGTTATATAAATACATGGGCAAATAAATGTTGATTGCTGCTCCATGCAGATAAATGTAGCCTATCGAAATCTTGGAGAAGGGGAAATGTCTGCTAAATGGAATGGTGGTGCAGAATATTAACCAGGAAAGAGATTTCGGCATTATTGTAGGGAAATCCCCAAAGTCTTTTCTGTGCTGCTTCAATATGCAGCTGTAGTGTGCACAGGGCAAACAGGATGCTATGTGAAAAAATAAATATCATTCAAAGGAGAGGGTAACATAGACTAATAAGTCTTACAGCCAAATTCAGCCCTCTGTAACTTCACTGATAGAACTGGAGTTGTACCAGGAATAAACCTGATGCATGACATAAAATATTACCATTAAGGCTGGCTGAATAATATTCATCTAATACAAAATGTAGTGAATTTGATTTTTTGTTTAGTAATTTTTTTTAAGACTAGTTTTGTGTTTTGTAAATACATTTTGTATTTGAAAATATATAATGAGTGAACATTTAACAGTCTATAGAGTAATTGTGAAGTCTCCAGCAATGATATTAAATATTTGATATTAGAAAAGGCAAGAAAGCATAGAAAACATCCAATCAGACCAGAAACAAAACCATATACTTTGAATGACTGAGTGAAACTTTCAAACAAGAAAATACCAAAGGACAAATAATACATTTCCAGTAGAAATTTCTAATTTGAACAAACATTTCATGAATACAGTGCAGCCACCCAAATATTTACAAGTACTGAATATTATGACCCCACAAATAGGAGCCAATAAAATTTGAGCTGTTTATTCTCCAATATAGTTTTGAAGCTGATTTTTTCATTATTTGGCTGGATCTAGTTACTGTGCTTTGAGAGAAAAAAAAATCTCCTGAGAAATCCATGTGAAAAAAGACTAAAGAAGATAATATTAGATCCTAATGTTTCCTTCAAAAAGGAAGTCCTACATTTCAAAACGTAACTAGATCTGGTCAGAAAATGTGTAAAATGTTAACAAGCTCATGAATTTTTCCTGTGAAATGTTTTCTGTTTTCTTACTAGCTGTGACTTTGATGGACCTCTGACTTTTTAAAAGTTATTTTAAAGGGGACTGATGAAACTGAAATTTTGTATAGCTCTGAAGAACACATTCACAGGAAGGATCGTCCAGTGGTTATGGTTTTAGTCTAGAACTTTTGAGACCTAGGTTCAGTCCCTTGCTCTACCACACACTTCCTATATGAGCCTTAGTCTCCCTCTGCCTCCGTTCTTCATCTGTAAAATAGGATAACAGGCAGCACTGCTCTACTTCACACGGGTGTTAGGAAGGTAAATATGTTTAGGACTGTGAAGTGCTCAGATACTATAGTAATGGGGGGCTATAAAAGTACTAAAATATATGTAGATTTAGTTATAAAATATGGATTACAGGGTTGTGGATGCTTAAACAAATTAGTTTTAGCAATAGTTTTTTTCCATTTTACACAAAGATTACTAGATTAAAACTAAAACCATATTGAAAACTTGGTGAATAAGGACTCTTAAAAAACAAACAAACACAAACCCTCACCTTTCAGGTTCTCCAGGCTGGTGATCCTGAATGTAAGAGTTATACCTGTGATGTTTACAAACTGGGTCGCTCTAACAGAATGCCAGCGTGGGAGCAGGTATACTCTACTGGGAATGGTCTAAGAAATGATGCTCTTCCTTTGCTGTCCCTGTGATCCCTTGCCTACAAAAGTGATATAAATTAAACTGTAAAACAGTGATCTACTTTTCTGTTTCTGCCAAAACTACACATGTAAGCCCCAACTTAGAAATACATGGA